AAAAAAAGGAAACCATTTGGAACGAAATAATTTATGGATTAAGATTTTGTGGTTTATTATGAACAATTTTTATTAATATCGTAATAATAAAAATTGTAATTCAAAAACGCCAATTTGGAGATATTGGTATTTTTGGGTTCATAACAAAAAATGAAAAGCAGTTGGAAAGAAATATTTCATGGATTAAGTTTTTGTGGTTTATTATGAACAATTTTTATTAACACCATTCTCATCAAACGTTTTTAATTTTTGAATTATGAAGCATTTTGTTATTAAAAGCGTCAAAATTGTAAAATTTTGGATTTAATTCCGTTAGGTTGGTAATAATCATAGATGAGTCATAATTGCTTATAAATCACACTTTATAGGTTCATTACAAATAATTTTTATTAAAAACACTTTCTCGTAACATTTTTAATTTTTGAGTTATAATAAAAATTGTAATTCAAAAACGCCAATTTGGAGATATTGGTATTTTTGGGTTCATAACAAAAAAAAGAAAAGCAGTTGGAAAGGAATACTTCATGGATTAAGTTTTTGTGGTTTATTATGAACAATTTTTATTAACATCATTCTCAACAAACGTTTTTAATTTTTGAATTATGAAGCATATTGTTATTAAATGCGTCAAAATTACAAAATTTGGGATTTAATTCTGTTAGGTTGGTAATAACCATACATGAGTCATAATTGCTTATAAATCACACTTTATAGGTTCATTACAAATAATTTTTATTAAAAATACCTTCTCGTAACATTTTTAGTTTTTGAATTACAATAAAAATTCTAATCCAAAAACGCTAGTTTAGAGATTTTGGGATTTTCGAGTTTATCACAAAAAATGGAAAGCATTTGGAAAGAAATAGTTTATGGATTAAGTTTTTATAGTTTATTATGAACAATGTTTATTAACATCATTCTCACCAAACGTTTTTAATTTTTGAGTTATAAAGCATTTTGTTGCTATATGTATCAAAATTAAAATATTTGGGATTTAATTCCGTTAGGTTGGTAGTAATCATAGATGAGTCATAATTGCTTATAGATCACTCTTGATAGGTTCATTACAAATAATTTTTATTGAAAACACTTTCTCGTAACATTTTTAATTTTTGAGTTATAACAAAAATTGTAATTCAAAAACGCCAATTTGGAAAGTATGGAACAAAAAATGAAAAGCAGTTGGAAAGGAATACTTCATGGATTAAGTTTTTGTAGTTTATTATGAACAATTTTTATTAATATCATTCTCACCAAACGTTTACAATTTTTGAATTATGAAGCATTTTGTTATTAAATGCGTCAAAATTACAACATTTGGGATTTAATTCCGTTAGGTTGGTAATAATGATAGAAGAGTCATAATTGCTTATAAATCACACTTTATAGGTTCATTACAAATAATTTTTATTAAAAACACATTCTCGTAGCATTTTCAGTTTTTGAGTTATAATAAAAATTATAATCCAAAAACGCCAATTTATAGATTTTGGGATTTTCGGATTCATAACAAAAAATTAAAAGCATTTTGAAAGAAATAGTTTATGGATTAAGTTTTTGGGGTTCATTATGAACAATTTTTATTGACATCATTTTCACTAAACATTTTTAATTTTTGAATTATGAAGCATTTTGTTATTAAATGCGTCAAAATTGTAAAATTTGGGATTTAATTCCGTTAGGTTGGTAATAATCATAGATGAGTCATAATTGCTTATAGCTCAAACTTTATAGGTTCATTACAAATAATTTTTATTAAAAACAATTTCTCATAGCATTTTTAATTTTTGAGTTATAATAAAAACTATAATCCAAAAACGCTAATTTAGAGATTTTAGTAATTTTGGGTTCATAACAAAAAATGGAAAGCATTTGCAATGAAATACTTCATGGATTAAGTTTTTGTGGTTTATTATGAACAATTTTTATTAACACCATTCTCACCAAACGTTTTTAATTTTTGAATTATGAAGCATTTTGTTATTAAATGCGTCAAAATTGTAAAATTTGTGATTTAATTCCGTTAGGTTGGTAATAATCATAGATGAGTCATAATTGCTTATAGCTCAAACTTTATAGGTTCATTACAAATAATTTTTATTAAAAACACATTCTCGTAGCATTTCCAATTTTTGAGTTATAATAAAAATTGTAATTCAAAAATGCTAATTTAGAGATTTTAGTATTTTTGGGTTCATAACAAAAAATGGAAAGCAGTTGGAAAGAAACAGTTCATGGATTAAGTTTTTGTGGTTTATTATGAACAATTTTTATTAACACCATTCTCACCAAACGTTTTTAATTTTTGAATTATGAAGCATTTTGTTATTAAATGCGTCAAAATTACAACATTTGGAATTTAATTCCGTTAAGTTGGTAATAATGATAGATGAGTCATAATTGCTTATAAATCACACTTTATAGGTTCATTACAAATAATTTTTATTAAAAACAATTTCTCATAGCATTTTTAATTTTTGAGTTATAATAAAAACTATAATCCAAAAACGCTAATTTAGAGATTTTAGTATTTTTGGGTTCATAACAAAAAATGGAAAGCATTTGCAATGAANTACAAATAATTTTTATTAAAAATACCTTCTCGTAACATTTTTAGTTTTTGAATTACAATAAAAATTCTAATCCAAAAACGCTAGTTTAGAGATTTTGGGATTTTCGAGTTTATCACAAAAAATGGAAAGCATTTGGAAAGAAATAGTTTATGGATTAAGTTTTTATAGTTTATTATGAACAATGTTTATTAACATCATTCTCACCAAACGTTTTTAATTTTTGAGTTATAAAGCATTTTGTTGCTATATGTATCAAAATTAAAATATTTGGGATTTAATTCCGTTAGGTTGGTAGTAATCATAGATGAGTCATAATTGCTTATAGATCACTCTTGATAGGTTCATTACAAATAATTTTTATTGAAAACACTTTCTCGTAACATTTTTAATTTTTGAGTTATAACAAAAATTGTAATTCAAAAACGCCAATTTGGAAAGTATGGAACAAAAAATGAAAAGCAGTTGGAAAGGAATACTTCATGGATTAAGTTTTTGTAGTTTATTATGAACAATTTTTATTAATATCATTCTCACCAAACGTTTACAATTTTTGAATTATGAAGCATTTTGTTATTAAATGCGTCAAAATTACAACATTTGGGATTTAATTCCGTTAGGTTGGTAATAATGATAGAAGAGTCATAATTGCTTATAAATCACACTTTATAGGTTCATTACAAATAATTTTTATTAAAAACACATTCTCGTAGCATTTTCAGTTTTTGAGTTATAATAAAAATTATAATCCAAAAACGCCAATTTATAGATTTTGGGATTTTCGGATTCATAACAAAAAATTAAAAGCATTTTGAAAGAAATAGTTTATGGATTAAGTTTTTGGGGTTCATTATGAACAATTTTTATTGACATCATTTTCACTAAACATTTTTAATTTTTGAATTATGAAGCAATTTGTATGTTAAATGCTTCAAAATTAAAATTTTTGGGATTTTAATTCCTTTAGGTTGGTAATAATCATAGATGAGTCATAATTGCTTATAGATCACATTTTATAGATTCATTACAAATATTTTTTATTAAAAAGACATTCTCGTAGCATTTTTAATTTTTGAGTTATAATAAAAATTGTAATTCAAAAACGCCAATTTGGAGGTATTGGTATTTTTGGGTTCATAACAAAAAATGAAAAGCAGTTGGAAAGGAATACTTCATGGATTAAGTTTTTGTGGTTTATTATGAACAATTTTTATCAACATCATTCTCACCAAACGTTTTTAATTTTTGAGTTATGAAGCGTTTTATTGTTACATGCTTTAAAATTAAAACATTTTTGATTTTAATTTCTTTAGGTTGGTATTAATCATAGATGAGTCATAATTGCTTATAGCTCAAACTTTATAGGTTCATTACGAATAATTTTTATTAAAAACAATTTCTCATAGCATTTTTAATTTTTGAGTTATAATAAAAACTATAATCCAAAAACGCTAATTAGAGATTTTAGAATTTTTGGGTTCATAACAAAAAATATAAAGCATTTGGAAAGAAATACTTCATGGATTAAGTCTTTGTGGTTTATTATGAACAATTTTTATTAACATCATTTTCACCAAACATTTTTAATTTTGGAATTATGAAGAATTTTGTTATTAAATGCTTTAAAATGAAAACATTTGGATTTTAATTTCTTTAGGTTGGTATTAATCATAGATGAGTCATTATTGCTTATAGCTCAAACTTTATAGGTTCATTACAAATAATTTTTATTAAAAACAATTTCTCATAGCATTTTTAATTTTTGAGTTATAATAAAAACTATAATCCAAAAACGCTAATTTAGAGATTTTAGTATTTTTGGGTTCATAACAAAAAATGGAAAGCATTTGCAATGAAATACTTCATGGATTAAGTCTNGCTTCATGCATCCATAGCATTTGTGATAAAAGGTTTGGATTTGCCCAAATCATATTTAAAAGTCAATGGTAATAGTTCAGTCTGTTATCATAATCGGTATCTGTTAAGGCCTGATGTAAAACAACGTGGTGGAGATATTATTCTCTTGAGAACTCTTGTGGACAATTGTTTTCGGAGTTCCCAGATTATGTGGGATCACATTGCGCACCAATATGATTTACGAATTCATAGAGATGTCTGAATGGGCTACACGTTGCCAGTTTTCCGTAATCGCTAAGTCAATCTTAAAAACACTTCTAGAGAAAAATGTCTTTCTTTGTCGTAATTGCATTGCACATTTTTGCCATGCAGTTGCATCGTATTCGAAACATTGAAAACAAAAGCGATGCGGTATTATCCAAGCTATTAAGTCGTCTTGTTTGTGGACACCAACTTCCTCCAATAAACTCTCCCTTTGTTTAGCTGTCAAAAAATATCCAATAATAAACCCGATTAACGCTGTTTCCCCATTAAGCGGGGTTACGCTGTAATATGAAATCAAACTTTAAAAAAATTATACTACATTCTTTTGTAATAAAAGGGAAATTAAACGTTTTTTGAATGATGTTTCGTTTATTAATAAATAACTCTTATTAAGAGTTATATGCCATTATAGGTAATTTAACCAGAGCTTTTCAAAATAAACGATTTATAAAACACATAATTTCTTACCTGAAGTCTCCAATGAGATTGCACTGGTGGATGTTGAAGCAACCTAAAGTCCCATATCTGCATGTGGAGTAGTGGGCGTGTTATTCGAAGCACTTGAAGTACTGACTTCTAAGTACTGATATCCTACATGTGAAAAAAAATATGCCTCAGTCCTAACAACATTTTGATAATTTTATACACATACTGGCAAATTTAATGATGGTACTACTCCTTTCAACAATTTGTTGTTACGTCCAACATCCTCTCGTCGAAAAGGCTTATCACAAACTCGAAAATTATTATAAACCCTCAAGTGTTCACACTGAAGCAGGTTTTCTCGCACACAACATAAAACCCATTTTTGATATATTTGTGGGTTTGGAAATCGGTAGAAACTTCGATACCTTTGTACGCATCCACTAATGGCGCAACTTTTTGACATTTTCTGCTACAAGAAAATAAGATGCATATATATTTATTCCAGTTCCATAATCAATGTTTAAATTTCAGAGGTTTTTTATGAGCATTAGTTTCCATATTATTTTAAGGGCAACTTATACTTAAAAATTTATTATGAAACTGGAGATCATAATATAATAACATGAAATAAATAAAACAAAGTATATCAAATGTACTTACCACGAATAAAATTTCGTAAATTTCTTTAAAATTTACTATCAAACACAAAGCCGCATCAAAACACTAACCAACTTGACAAACNGGATTTTCGGATTCATTACAAAGAATGAAAATCTTTAAAATTACAATTTTTGGGATTTTAATTCCTTTAGGTTGGTATTAATCATAGATGAATCATAATTAGTTATAGATCAAACTTTATAGGTTCACCTCCTCGTAGCATTTTTAGTTTTTGAGTTATAATAATTCCAAAAACGCCAATTTGGATATTTTGAGATTTTGGGACAACGAGATGGAATAAACTACAGATAACTAACTATATAAACTAGAAAAAGCGAAACCAATTTGTAACTTTTATCAATAATCGAGGGTTAAAGGGGAGTAATGGTGGAGGGTGTTGTATGTAAAATGAAGATGATATAGAGACGACAATCGTTTGAATCGTGGGGTTTGCAACATGAATGTTTGATGTCGGATAAAAACACATCGCCGCGGCCGGCAATTAGGTAGACGTTTAAAGGCGGTTCGCCGTCAATTTGCGTTAATATTTTAGCGGGAGTACGTTTCAAAGTGGGTTTGTGCTACATCTGGTCGGTAACGACCCGCTCCATTATTCAGTCGCTATGACATGTTTCAGTTCCATTTTTGAATAATTCATCGCGACGGGCCACAACGACGAAGACGAGAAGTCGTTTCATCAACGACGTCGCAAAATGCACCTGTTTTATTATTACATTATGATCGAAACATCGCTGTTTGAATTTCCAGGAACGATTTTCATTCATAAATTATCTCTTTTACAGTTCTCAGTTGTTCTAATTTTAGTGATTTCAACTTAATTATTTTGTGTTCATATTTATGAGTAATAATTTTCGACGTCGTCTTAAAAGGAATTTAGACAAAACGTTTTAAGTGGAATTGTATGAGGAAAGATGGCAAAATTCCTAAGGAACATATTCTTCATCATAAAGAGAATTTATACCTGAAAGCGACTCCCGGCGACAGCACATTGTGCATATAAAAATTCTACGCGAACAGCTGTGTTCTGCATTCCGCGAATTCGCAGAGAGCCGACCACTTTTCCAGCTACTTTCGTGCTACCTGCGCAACTACATCCTCGTAAATATTTACATTTCCCAACAGGAACTAGCTTAGATCGAGAGAATCGTTTTTCATCATCGTAAAAGAAAGGAAATTAAAGGCGATTTTAAGATTAGAAAGTGACGTTGCGAGGGGGTTCCGTTTATAAATGAGTTTAGTTAGGGATGTAATTGAAGCGTTTTATGTTTCTAACATTTACTCAATCAACGTTTATTGAAACCTTGTTATTAGCTATAAAAAGCGGCGTTATTTATAGATAATAAAATCTCGGGATTTTACACGAGCCATAAATGCCGGTTTATTCGAACCTGGAAAATATCAATCGAAACGAAATTATGAATAAAACCTCGAAAAATAGTGAACTTTTATATCAACTTGATATAATAAATGGTAACGAGTTTAAATTACCTTTTTGTAATCCTCGTTGAGTAAACATGCCAAACGAGATTATCAATTATGCTGACATTTATCAACTTTATTCCGGACGTGAAACTGAAAAAAAAGGGCGCACACACATAATTCTTGCGCACGTCACAAAGGTACACTGGCGATAAAAGCGTGCAAACCAATTATGTTCGAGGAGAGCAGGGCAAACATCGGCCCTATCGGCCCTGAAATCGATCTGTTATACAACGTTTTAACGCGCCGAATGTAAACAGAGTGCAATTACAAAAAAAACGAAGCGAGATAAAATAGGAGGGTGCTACAAGTCCAGTTATGCACAATTAAAGTTTTGTAATAAAAGTTAAATTAAACGATTTTTTTATTTAAACGTTACGATTATTAAGAAAAACCAATATATCAACAATAGTAAAACAGCATTAAAAAATTTAACCTCTTAAACATACCTAAGTTATTGAAACTGGCAAACATTAATACAAAAAAACGTCGAAAACAATAAATTATTATCAAACTCCCTCCTCCGTAAAGCGGTTGGGAACGAGAATTACAAATAGCATGTACAGGGTGGTTCAAATTCGATGTCCGAATAGGCTAACTCGAAAACTATGAGTTATACTCTGTTTTTAAACTAGGAGGAGTAAACGCGAAAGTCAGATTTACACTAGGAAAAATCACCAGAAAATATCACTAGATATTTTGGCGGTAAATTTAAATTAATAATTATTATTATTTATTTATTTACTTATTATTGTATTTATTTTCGTTTGTTATCGTCAACACTAAACATACAAATTAACATTGAAGTTATGAGTGTATTTATTTCAAAATATAATAAAGAAGGGTTTAAGAACACAAAATTTACAATAATGACACGAAACTGTCGAATTGTCAATAACCTAACCTTCAAATTCAAAATTGCCTGTGTGTGAACCTTCCTCGCATTCAACCAATCACGTGCAAGGTCAATCTGGTGACAAATTTAAAATACTCCTCCTGGTTTAAAAACAGAGTATAATTGCCAAAGAAAACTTCAAGGTATAATTAATGTTTGTAAACAAAACTAACCTTACCTAACATTCCTTCACGCTATAATTGACATTACAAAAGAAAACTTCACGCTATAATTGCCATTACTAATTGTCAAAGAATACTTCATGGTATAATTAATGTTTGTAAACAAAACTAACCTTACCTAACATTCAGCGTCTGAAGACACAGGGCTAAACGAGTCAAAGCTGTCTCAAAGAAAGTTTTCAACAAAGTAAAATCAGTTAATAAATCTTCGTCTGAACTTACAATACCGAATGACATAGCTACTTTCTTGACTCTTGGTCTTAATTTTGTTATACCTCAACAAAAAAGAAAAATATTCAAAGAATTTTTTAATGGAGATCGAAAGCATTTTGAGTATGTGTTCAACTAATAAAAGAGACTTGCTGAGGGCAAGAGCCACTAACATTTTAACGAATTTTCTAAGTAATGAGGATTCCCCTACTTGGTTACAGTCACATTTTTGGAGAAGAAAACCAAGAAGTTCCTGCAAGATAATCCTTCCTTACACATCACTAGAACAGACAAGTCACAGTCATTATAACGAAATCGTCTTACATGGGGAAGGCGATAGGTATGCTAAACGATAGATAAGACTAGCATAATTCAATATAGCATAAATAAATTAGTCAAAGAAATCTATGAAAACAAGTTAATAGACGAAGTCACATTGAAACAACTTACTACATACAGCTCCACTTTATCTAGAGCATACTTCTTGCCTAAAATACATAAAGATGATATTATACCATTGAGACCGATAATCTCTTCTGTGGGCTCTGCTACTTATGAGATTTCGTCGTTCTTCACTAACATCTTAACACAAACTTTTGAAGGTATAAGTAATTATAATGTTAAAGATACGTTTGACTTTGTTAATGAATTGAGAGACACATTGTTACCTGATGATTTTATTGTAATATCTTTAGATGTTGTAAATCTTTTTACCAACATCCCTATGTCCTCGGTTGTAGATATAATCAAAGAAAGATGGTCTCTTGTTTCTGACATTTTTGACATTGATCAGGATTTATTTGTAAAAGCTTTGAATGTTGTTACTTATTTTACCTTCGATAACACCACTTTTAAACAAATTTTTGGTACTCCAATGGGTTAGACAAAATCATTCCGAAACTAAATTTTCAAGTTCTTTTCATTAAAAAATATGTAGATGATATCATACTGTCAATTCACAAAACTGCAGTTGATCACATGTTGACAATCTACAATAATTTTAATAAACACATACAATTCACAATACAGGTTGAAAATAAAGACCATTTCCTCCCCTTTTTGGATACTAAAGTCATCAGAAACTCTGAGAATAAGCTAACGTTTGATTGGAATACAAAAAAACTTTTTCAGGTAGATACATTCATTTTAGTTCTTTCCATAAGACTAAACATAAAATAAACACTGCTTTAGCTATGAAACATCGTATCACTAACATTTCAAATCCTCAATTTTTACATAAGAATTTAAATATTTTAAAAAACATCTTTTTACAAAATCAATAACTTCTCAACAAATTTTATTTAATATCGGTAAACTTGTTAATACCAATAAATTTAATACACTATAAAGGATCCTGTTATATACAAGCCTTGTTCCCCTTGTTACCTTTTGTTCCTGGTCTAACGGAAAAATTAATTAGAATGTTTCACGATAGCATGAAAGTTTAAAAATTGTAGAACATTATCCATTCAAATTAGCTTCTGTTTTCTACAATTTAAAAGATAAAGTACCTTTAAGGTACCAATCTAACGTCATTTATCGTGTCCCTTGTGGAGAGTGTCATTGTTGTTATGTTGGCCAAACATGTTGGTTAAAAAATCGTATGAACCAACATAAAAATGAAGTTAAGAACTGTAAAAACAATGGTTGCGCTCTTTCCCAACACTCTTTGGAAACTGGACATCTGTTTGACTTTGATAACGTAAAAATTTTAGATATTTTTTTTGTACTTTTCCTTTTTTCATTTGTGTACATGCTATTTGTAATTCTCGTTCTCAACCGCTTCATGGGGGAGGGCGTTAGTTGTTTTTTAGAAGAGAATAGATTTTTCTGTTATGAAAGTTTGATAATAATTTATATTATTAATTAATAAGGAAATTATGTTCACTTAACTTGTTTCCGGAGGTGTGACATGTCAGTTAAAAATAGTTGGTTGACCTTGGTCTTGCGGGATGGATGTTCTTCGGTGTTAGAAGTTTAGGATTCTCGAGAAATTTAATTCTCGGGTTCTTCGGGAACAGGATGGAACATTGGACTCGATCTCAGGTATGGTTTCGATTTCTTCGAAGATAATTTAGAAACACTTGTTTACTTTTACTAGATAAAAGTAAATTGAGTTGTCAAAAAAACTTAGGTTAGACATTTTTAGGTTAATATGACGTAGATTCGACAACGCTTCGCTCTAACCGAAATTGAACTCTCTCGGTGTCAAATTTGCGCGGCCTTATATACCCTTTTTGGACAAAGGCTTCTTGGATATCCGAATTTGATCGCCTCAGTTTGAATCTGGGCTCTCTGATTGGTTGATAAAATGGCGGGAATTATAAATTACACAGGTTAGCCAAAATGATTGAATTTTTTAAAGAAAATAACTATCAACTTTGAAAATATTCGAAATTATTAATCAACTTTAAATTTGATTAAGATTTTGTAATTTTGTAGTTAATTTTTCGTTCTTTTAGATAATCGCGCTTTCGGGTGTCAAATTCCTTCGAGAAATTCGTAATTTGATGTTAAAGTTTGGAAAGAAAAAAAATGGAATTTAAATATATAAAATGATTCAGAAATGGATGAAATTGCGGCCTAAGGGCTAAATCGACACGATCTCGCATGGTTTTAGAATCGAAAATCGTCTGAAAAGTCGCCAAAATCAATACCTGTCAAAATGTAAATGTCAAGGTCAAAATTTGAAGGTCATAGACTTCAATGAATTACCTTTTTCTTGCACATCGTCCTAATTTTTCTTCAAACTAAACGAAAATCATAACAAAACTAACTACTTATAGTCTAATCCAATATAGTAAATTTCTTAAATTTAATTAGTCTTTTTTCTGTTTCTTCGGAAACAGGGATTTTATTACAGTATGTTTAAGAGGTTAATTTTTTTAATGCTGTTTTTCTATAGATATTGTGTCGTTGTAGAAACAAGCCCTGAGGAAGGTTAAAAATTTAATCGAAATATTGGCATGTTAAAATAGTTATTTTAATTGTCCTGAATATATTGATTTTTTCTTACTGCTTACAGGATTAAACAACACAGATTTCCTGCTTATTACGATTATTCATTAAGAGTACGAAGATAATAGTTGAGTATTATAATTTATGTGTATTACAATATTATGGATTGCATGTATTGACAATTTCCGTTATCTGAATACTTAACTGGTTGTTTACACACTGATAAACGTGTTACGAATAATAATTTATAATAAGCCGGATGAAGACAAATATTGAAACGTTTCATCTCACTAAAGTCAGGTTCGAAATTTTATAAATTCGTAGTGTTTGTGCATTCGTTCGCGAATAAGTCGTAAATAAAAATAGCGGTACTCATATAACGTCTGTGTTTACGTTACCCTATTTTGTAAACAGACCAAGTTTTATCGACTGTTGCTCAATACTGTTATTATACACTTCATATTCTTTTGAAACACTTTTTTGTGTCAATCGAAATAAACAAAAACAAATGTTGGGCGAGAACGTGAACATTTTCGCAACGAAATCCCGAAATCCCGCACACACATGTTTGCCAATGTACATAATATGCAAATACTAATTCCCTGTATGCCGGATTCAAAGTCGCAAATATTGTAATACCATTGAGTGCGCGGCTTTAGTATAAGCCTTGATCACACTAACCATAACATTACCACAACACACCCTAACATCATGTATATCTCCAGTATGCACACGCCTTTATAAAGTTCGTGTTTGCCACTGCAAGCGTCGGCGTCGCTTCGTTCCTGGTAATCCAGCCGTAGCGCCGCGTTGCGGTGGTTATCCGAATCCGCCCGGACGAAGATAATTAGAAGGTGCTCGGTGTTTAGTAGGACGGCCGCGAGCGGCGCCGCTACATCCCCATCTCCCATTCTAAAAGTCGTCGAAGCTTGAATTGGAAGATTGCCCCATGTCGTATTTGTGTGTTACTTTTATGTTTATACGCGATTCTGTATTCTACAACTGCTAGAGGGCGGAATTGTATTGGTTGAAACAGTTAACATAAAACGATTTTATATTTTGCAAAAATTTAATAAACTTTTATGATCTTGGAGGACTTATTATACTTGAGGAGTATTTATAATAACTTTACGCATTTAACATCCAAATGCTTCATAACTCAAAAATTATAAACGTTTGGTGAGAATGATGTTAATAAACATTGTTCGTAATAAACCACAAAAACTTAATCCATAAAGTATTTCTTTCCAAATGCTTTCAATTTCTTGTGATGAACCTGAAAATTCCAAAATCTCAATTCCAATGCTACGAGAAAGTGTTTTGTACAAAAATTGTTTGTAATGAACCTATAAAGTGTGATCTATAAACCATTTTGACTCATCTATGATTATTACCAACCTAACAGAATTAAAATCCCAAATATTTTAATTTTGAAGCATTTAACAACAAATTTGATTCATAACTCAAAAATTAAAAACATTTGGTGAGAATGATATTAATAAAAATTGTTCATAATAAACCACAAAAACTTAATCCATAAACTATTTCTTTCCAAATGCTTTCCATTTTTTGATATGAACCCAAAATTTCTAAAATTTGTTTCCATTTCCTTAATTTCTTTTTCTTCGAAGTAAATGCCGATTAATTTTGCATATACCGTATTATATATATTATATTGTATGTATTAACTCTGTGGAGCAATGTCTTTGGATCTGTCCCATTTTTGCTCCCTTGTAAGCTAAATATGTAAATAAATAAATAAAAATAAAATCCTCAAATTGATGTTTTTGTACTAAAATTTTTATTATAACTAAAAAACTGAAAATGTTACGAAAAGGTGTTGTTCATAAAAATTGTTTGTAATGAATCTATAAAGTATGATCTATAAATAGTTATGATTCATGTATGATTATTACCAACCTAACAGAATTAAATCCAAAATGTTTTAATTTTGACGCTTTTAACAACAAAATGCTTCATAACTCAAAAATTAAAAACATTTGGTGAGAATAATGTTAATAAAAATTGTTCATAATAAACCATAAAAACTTAATCCATAAACTATTTCTTTCTAAATGCTTTCCATTTTTTGATATGAACCCAAAAATTCCAAAATCTCCAAATTGTTGCTTTTGGATTACAATTTTTATTATAACTCAAAAACTAAAAATGCTACGAGAAAGTGTTTTTTATAAAAATTATTAGTAATGAACCCATAAAGTGTGATCTATAAGCAATTATGACCCATCTATGATTATTACCAACTTAACGGAATTAAAATCACAAATATTTCAATATTGACGCATTTAACAAAACAAAATGCTTCATAACTCAAAAATTAAAAACGTTTGGTAAGAATAATATTAATAATAATTGTTCATAATAAACCACCAAAATTTAATCCATAAACTATTTCNCAAAATTTCTAAAATTTGTTTCCATTTCCTTAATTTCTTTTTCTTCGATGTAGATGCTGATTAATTTTGTATATGGTATATTGCATATATTGTATTATATACATTGTATTGTATGTATTAACACTGTGGAGCAATGTCTTTGAGTCTGTCCCGTTTTTGCTCCCTTGGAAGGTAAATAAATAAATAAATAAAAATGAAATCTGCAAATTGGTGTTTTTGGATTAAAATTTTTATTATAACTAAAAAACTGAAAATGTTACGAACAGGTGTTGTTCATAAAAATTGTTTGTAATGAATCTATAAAGTATGATCTATAAACAGATATGATTCATCTATGATTATTACCAACCTAACAGAATTAAATCCCAAATGTTTTAATTTTGACGCTTTTAACAACAAAATGTTTCATAACTCAAAAATTAAAAACATTTGGTGAGAATAATGTTAATAAAAATTGTTCATAATAAACCATAAAAACTTAATCCATAAACAATTTCATTCCAAAAGCTGTACTCAAAAAATTGAAAATCTCAAAATTGGTGTTTTTGGATTACATTTTTTATTATAACTCAAAAACTAAAGATGTTACGAGAAGGTGTTTTTCATAAAAATTATTTGTAATGAACCTATAAAGTGCTATTTATAAACAGTTATGATTGATCTAGGATTATTACCAACCTAACGGAATTAAAATCATAAATATTTTAATTTTAAAGCATTTAACCACAAAATGCTTCATAATTCAAAAATTAAAAACGTTTGGCAAGAATGATGTTAATAAAAATTGTTCATAATAAACAACAAAAACTTAATCCATAAACTATTTCTTTCCAAATGCTTTCCATTTTTTGTGATGAACCCAAAAATTCTAAAATTTCCAAATTGGTGCTTTTATTACAATTTTTATTATAACTCAAAAACTAAAAATGCTACGAGAAAGTGTTTTTTATAAAAATTATTAGTAATGAACCCATAAAGTGTGATCTATAAGCAATTACGACCTATCTATGATTATTACCAACTTAACGGAATTAAAATCCCAAATATTTCAATTTTAACGCATTTAACAACACAAAATTCTTCATAACTCAAAAATTAAAAACGTTTGGTAAGAATAATATTAATAATAATTGTTCATAATAAACCACCAAAATTTAATCCATAAACTATTTCGTTCTAAATGCTTTCCATTTTTTGATATGAACCCAAAAATTCCAAAATCTCCAAATTGTTGCTTTTGGATTATAATCTTTATTATAACTCAAAAACTAAAAATGCTACGAGAAAGTGTTTTTTATAAAAATTATTAGTAATGAACCCATAAAGTGTGATCTATAAGCAATTATGACCCATCTATGATTATTACCAACTTAACGGAATTAAAATCACAAATATTTCAATATTGACGCATTTAACAAAACAAAATGCTTCATAACTCAAAAATTAAAAACGTTTGGTAAGAATAATATTAATAATAATTGTTCATAATAAACCACCAAAATTTAATCCATAAACTATTTCGTTCTAAATGCTTTCCATTTTTTGATATGAACCCAAAAATTCCAAAATCTCCAAATTGTTGCTTTTGGATTACAATTTTTATTATAACTCAAAAACTAAAAATGCTACGAGAAAGTGTTTTTTATAAAAATTATTAGTAATGAACCCATAAAGTGTGATCTATAAGCAATTATGACCCATCTATGATTATTACCAACTTAACGGAATTAAAATCACAAATATTTCAATATTGACGCATTTAACAAAACAAAATGCTTCATAACTCAAAAATTAAAAACGTTTGGTAAGAATAATATTAATAATAATTGTTCATAATAAACCACCAAAATTTAATCCATAAACTATTTCGTTCTAAATGCTTTCCATTTTTTGATATGAACCCAAAAATTCCAAAATCTCCAAATTGTTGCTTTTGGATTACAATTTTTATTATAACTCAAAAACTAAAAATGCTACGAGAAAGTGTTTTTTATAAAAATTATTAGTAATGAACCCATAAAGTGTGATCTATAAGCAATTATGACCCATCTATGATTATTACCAACTTAACGGAATTAAAATCACAAATATTTCAATATTGACGCATTTAACAAAACAAAATGCTTCATAACTCAAAAATTAAAAACGTTTG